CACTTTAGCTCACTGTAACTTCTTCAATATTAGCTCAACTTCAAAATTTTGTGTGGGGTTGTATGCACACAGATGTTCTTCAAAATTTACACATCTTTTATATTGACAAATTTTGAGAGGTAAATCAGTTGATGTTAAAACCATAAAATCTTTTTCTGTAAATGTTTTTTCAATTTTCAAAAACGTTTGTGCACTTTTGATTGTAGTTCTCAATTTTCAAAATTTTAATTCGGGAAATGGGCATAACATCATGGCACATACAAGATACAACACAGTTTTAAAAAGTAATTTATAGGTTGAGTAATGAATGCTTGACTAATTTTCAAAGTTGAAACAGTGGGAAATGGAAACCTGCAAGAGCCTCTCAGGGGTGGGATGGGAGTGAGTCCAGGGGTTAGGATGCAAGGTAGTGCTGTGGCAGGCAAAAATAAAAAAGGGTGCAAACATTCATTCACAAGTTACTTTATTCTAGTAGAAAAGCCCAGGGTGCCTGGCCACACTTGGGCAAACAGTTGGTAAACTCAATAAAATCCTTTAACTGAAGAATACTGTACCATACACCAAAACATACCCCATGCTACACTAAAACAGCATTTGGCATTTCTATCCACCAGGGGTTTTATGGACCCTCCCCCTTTCCAAAAAAAGGGGCCATGGACAGGGTCCCAAAAATCCTTTGATTCTTGGGTAGGCTGCACTCATTCAAGACCACTGCCAATTTTATCTCATCCTGCCAGCATTTCAAGTTTTCTGCATGTGTTCTTTTGTTTTTTTGGGGGCGTTGTAATTTCTTAGGCAAATTTGCAGGCATGTATGAGACTGTATACATAAGAACATTGTTACTGCAAAGTGTTTCTGTGTACAGTAGAATCTTGATACAGCAAAGTGCCTGGGAGCTCATAAAGCTTTGTTATGAAAAACTTAATTGAAAATAAATTAAATAACATAGGCTATTGGACAGGGACCAAAACACAAATTTGTAGGAAATTGCTGGTTCAAAACAGGATACTGGAGAATTATTCAACAATGAAATGTTCGGAAACTCAAAAAAGCTTATTTCTGAAAATAAATTGTATTGTTTCTTATTTAGAAATTATTTAAGTGTGCAAAATTCATTCAAAATGGGGCGCAGGAGAAAATCCTGGGAGGAAAAATCCCCCACCACAAAAATCTTTCAAGGCCAATAGGTATGTCTGCGGATCAGTATTGGCCCCACATAATATACTGTTCTGTAATTATCAAAGGGGATTCTTCTTATGTACATGGGTAGATTCATGTTTTGGGATTTTTTCCTGTCAAATTTTCAGGCCTACCCAATTATGGGAATATCCTGCACCTAAAAATATTAAAGAAGCCCCATCAACTAAGAATTTTAATTTTCCAGTTATTAACATAAATTTGCTCAGAAAATTTGTACAAAATGGCCTGTGTAACACTGTATACCAACATAAAAGTTCTTCAACAACCATGTGTTTGGAAACTTGAAAAATCTATTTCATTAAAAAAATTGTATTTTTCCCTATGTAAAAATTATAGAAGTATGCAAAATATCACCAAAATGTGGTACAGGAAAAATCTCCTGGGAGGAAAAACCCTGCAGTGGGAAAATCTTGTGAGGCCAATATCTATACCTCAAGATCTGCATTGGCCTCACCTAATGCACTGTAATCATCAAAGGAGATTCTTCTGATGTATAATGGCAGATATTGGTTTTTGGGATTTTTTGTTACAGCCAGATTTTCAGTCCTACCCAATTATTGGCCCCTAATTGTGGACTTTCTGAGTATGGGATATCCTGCACCAAAAAATATTTAAGAACTCCTATTTTCTAAGAGTTTTCCTTTTATTCTAATTTATCATGCAATCCCAGTGACTCAAAATCTCCTTGCTTGAGAATCCTGTATACAACCAAAAATTCACAGGGCCCAGGCACACAAAATTCTTAAATTGTCAGCTTCACTGAGCTAAAAATAAAAAAAGGTACTGGCTGAAAAATCATTTCTAACAACTTTCAACAGTAACATGCACAAAAATTGTTGTTGTCCTGGCTTTAAAAAACCTTTCTAAAACACTTCTGCAGTAACATCTGCAAAATTCTTTAATTTTCAGCATCACTGAACTTAGAGAAAACAGTCCTATAATCGTCGCGGAATAAAACTTTTTCAAGAATGCAGAAATTATCCCAGGAGCAGCAATGAATGAATGGCTCCATGATGAAATCCCATGGCCCAAAAATCCTGATGAGTATTACGAAATTGTAACATTGTCTCTGGGTTTCCCTTCCAACTGTAGGGAAGGAATAAAAATCTGGTGGATTATGAAAGTGCAAAGGTTTTAATACCTTCCAAGGGTTTGGGATTACCTTTCTTGATGGAACCTCACCTTCACTTCCTCAAGAGAAAGAGAAAGGCAAAGAAGCCTGGGAAAGATGTTGCCTCCATCCCTGCATTGTTTTGATTATAAACTTGTGTACTTTTCCAATGATTTTCACAGCTCAAATTTGCCTTCTGAAGTAATATACTTGCATAAATTTGGGTGAAAATTTTGCGGAGTTGAAAACTTGTGGAGTTTTTATAATTTTTTTTTTTTAGATTCCCAGCATCATGTACTGTACTATATATTGAATATTAAGATTGAAAATTAAATATCACTACATAACTGCATTTAGACTTCTTTGATAATTTAGAATTTTTACATACCATTGCCTTCTGTATTTAGAAAATGAGGTTTTTCTGATACATAAATTTCTTTTTTTGGGATTTTTAGACTGCAGGAATTTTTCTCCCACAGGATTTTCTCCTGCACCCAATTGAATGAATGAAGACTTGATTTGGTTGCAAGTGGCAACCTCTCTTTTGAAGCTGAAAAGAGGAAGATCTCACCTTCAAATATTTGTGATGCTTTTATACAGTAATTACATAAATGTTGAGGAATCATCCACAAATCCACCAAGAAGGTTGCAGCAAAATTAAATTGCACAAAAATGCTGCATGAAGAAGTCTAGCAGACCATACCAAATTTCAAGAGACAGGAATCCAAAAGAATGTATTAAAGGGTGTCATTAAAGCATGGTATGTGACAGTGATAGGTGATGTAATCTAGATACATTTTGTTGTTGTAAGGAATTATAATTTATGGTGCATTTTTAAAATTCAGTTGCGGTGCCAGACAGCATCCTGTTCAGGGCAACATTCCTTTCTTTTCCATGGGGCAGGTGGGCGCTGACCAGTCAAAGCCTTTTCCCAGGGCCAGTGACATTGATAAATCAGATTTTCAAGGTGACCCTTTTTTTTGCCTGGGGTGCAGGGCAAGGGTGGTGGATAGGCAAGAGACAATCCACTAAAACATACCCTACCCTACAACCTTCATTATAGTGATGTAGTGCATTACTCATGGGTCTCTCAAGAGTGATCTCAATTCATTTAAACCCTAATTTCGAGATTCAAATTTCATGAACCATTTGCAGCTATCCTACAAAATAAGTGTTTCTTCTCCCAGTGATGAAACTGTAAATCAGAGATTCTGATTACCTTGTCCACAGTAATATGGATGTCCTGCACTGAGTGTCAGATAATGACTTACTTCGGAAGTTTATGAGACAACAGAGAAAATAATTTGGTTGGAATCAAGGATAAGCATAGGAAAAATGCAACTTCATTGTCAAATTTTCCCAGTTCAATCATCAGGTTCACTCAACTTCTCTTTCAACAAAACATAAATAAAACAGGTTTAATGCATTAATTTCACAGGATTTTCTCTCAAGTAGTTAATTTGTAGATGATCAAGATTGTACAGAAGGCCTCAACATTCCTCTGTTGTACAATTGTATAGTTTTCTCAGAATCAAGTTAAAAATAGCGTACTAAAAATCATGCAACCAGAAGCGCACACACGGAAAGGCATCTAGCTTCAATGGAGTCGCAAGTGATTGCAACAGTAACAACAAATTCTACCTTCCAACACAAACCGACTATCACCACACAATTTGTTGATTCACAAAATTTTTCTCCATGAATCACTTTTGGATCATCAAACTTTGAAAATTATCCTTGACGTGGTTCTCCGCATGTTGAACAGGGAGAAATCCGTAATAACTCCAAATCTTCTCAAGGCACTCCTCTTTCGCTCAGTCCACTTTTTGCCATTGACTTAGGCAGGAGGTCCCACATTGGCACTACAATATCACGGACAACAGACATGAATCAAAGAGTACTGAGCTGATATTGAGTTTCAGCTGGTGCGCATCATTCAACTTTTATACAGAATCATATCACTTGAGGCCATATCTCTTTCCTCTCTCCAAATATGATTTCCCGTCTTTCATAACATAATTTTTCAAGCAAAGAATGACTGTATTCGGGCATACACTGCATTAGTTTCTACTTGCTAGTAAAGAAACTTACGCATAATTACGAAGTTTTTCCCCATTGGAATAGGATTTTCACGCTGAGGTACTTCAGCAAAACAAGAAAATTAGATCAATCAGCTCCAGAAGGCAAACGAATTTAGGATATCATTGGGGAGGACGAGATAACTACAGAAAATGAAGGGAGCTTAGGTTACCTGTACAGTACAGTGAACACATGAAAAAATTAAGGTAAATGAACAACTCTTGTCTGAGAACACAAACTGTTCCACCATATTGCAGAAGAATGACAGATTTTGCACCACAATCACACAGTATCATGTACAGTAACCCTTTCTATCTAGATATATCCAGATTCACATTGAAGAAAAAGAGCAAAAAAACATTCCTAAATTTAAATTACTCAAGTATCAACATGATCTTATGAAAGTTAGCTTTTCCCCGAACAATGGCACGTCTTGGTAAAAACAGGTCATAGCGGTTTTATCAATACTTAACATCAACTTTAAGTCATAAATTTGCTATATACCTTCTCTGGAGCTTGGAACTCCGTAAGGGTATCACGAACACAGGCTTCGGAGAAGATTCCTCCGCATTTGCTCTGTTATTTCCAGAAGGGCCTGGGTTTTCACCAACACCTTTCACAGTGTCATGTCTTCAAAGAACATCTCAGTGCGGTTTAAAGAAGGCTCAACAGAAAATTTCATTAGTCAATACGCTATAGTTACCTTTTCTGGAGCTTGGAACTCCGTAGGGGTATCACGAGTACTGGATTGGGTGCACATTTCTCTGCATTTGCTTCATTATTTCCAAAAACTTCTTGCCTTTCACCAAGGCCTTTCACAGAGCTATCTCTTTGCAAAAACATGTCTGCATTTGAAGAATGCCTCACAGCGAAATTCACTCGTCGAATTGATACCTTTTTCGGAGCTTGGAACTCCATAAGGGCATCACATAAACTGGCCTTGGAGCCTCCTCAAATGAAACTGGCCGGGCGAAGATTTTGCAAGGAACAACGCCTTCCTGAATGTCAGAATCTGCAGAAGGAACATGTGCTCTTCACCTGCGGTTCACAAATGGAAATTTAAAAAAGAATGGTGCCAGTCTCACGTGTCAATCTTCTACAAACGTTACACCTCATTTCCAGTTTACCACCTCCGTAAATGAAGCTGTTGATGATTAATAATGCCCTGATGTTAGAACAACACAATTTTGTAGCGAACATGAACCACATGCACCCTAAAAAGGCATAATAGTCACTAGAGTACGGTTGAAGCTTTTTCTGGCTTTGTATTAGAAGAACTGCACAGACATTTAGGATTTCCTCAGAATTGTAAACCAGTCTTGAAATTCTTATTGGTATCTTCTCTTGAAGTGATGGTTCAACCTTTTCAGCTTATAAGCCAAGTTCAACTCAAGAGCACTATCAGTTAAGCGCAAAAAAAATGAATTGAAGAAATGCTTCTCATTCTAGAACAGCGCTAATGGAGACATGATTGAGGTTGTCAAACATCTTCTTTGGCTCATTTTAGGTTCCGGAGAATTCAAAGATGGAAATTGAAATTTCAGATTGCATAGCATTTCATTAATACACGGTGCATTCAACTTCTCTCTGGGAATTAAACCATTATAGGACGCAATCAAGGATGAATTTTGAGGGCTACTAAGTTGAAAACAAGGGTTTGTCTCAAGAAAGAAATATGCCTCAATTACAGTATGACGAACTGAACAAAACGTGTGCATGCTTTTAACATGGTACAGAGAAGAGCATCATAAGTATGAAATAGCAATCACCAGGGAAAGGCTCCTCCAAAGATACAAGAAAAGCTGAGAGGTTCTTTCCGTGCATGACATACTCCTGCCTCATATTCTCTAGCATCTTGAGCAACTCAGTCTTGCAATTGGCAGGTTTTTCCACACCGGATTGCAGTTTATGGAGAACAGCTTGTATCAAACCCCACCATTCTCCGAAATGATAACGTTTAAGGACCTGGAAAATCATGTATGCTTTCACAAAGTCACATAATTTGAAGTGCTACGGGCTTTACCTGTGCTTGCAAACGGGCTGTTCGGGCAACAAAAAATCCAAACACGTCTCTTCCGGATTCAAACCTTGGTACCAACGTCAGCCTAGGTATACAAGGCAGGTCAAAACCCCAGAATCGCTGCAGCTCCAGCAGCCGCTTTTGCTCCTCATCAACTTTTTCATTGATCTTGAGTATGAACTTATCTGATTTCAAATCTTGGTACAGCTCTTGCCCAATAACAACAACTCCAGCGAGGATGTTGACGAACACTGACGCACTTCTGGCGTTTGGATGTGGTATCAAACAGGTCATGGAAGTCACAGATGAAGCAAATCTTGTTGCATCTAACACACGCTCCGCAGTGTTCTGAAGTTGCTGAACCTCGCTCAATATTTCGTTAACAGTGGCGAGAACATCAGCATTGATCTCAATCATTTCTGTTAGGATTGCAACCAGTGGCACCGTGACTTCTGTAAGAAAGACATTATTAATGTGCTGAATGGAATGGTCGCATAGGTCAGCTATTCAAATCGGAATTCAATGCAGCGCATTCAGAAACAAAATCTGAAAGAAAACAAAAATCTAGTGCTCTTCTCTTGAAAGCTTAACTACGTGGAAAACGTTTGGGGAGCTTCTGGATTCCGTACAGGCAAATGTCATCATACATGAATTACTTTTCTATGTACATCCAATTCGACTTGAAGCTCATGGGAAGCATCTTCCCATGAGGAAAAAGTAAAACCTGAAAATGCTGGATAGAAAGAATTTTCGCACTATGCGTTTTAGGTATTTTGAATGCAGAGCTGCGAAGTAGACAAAATTGAAATGACTCTAACAATCGATGGAGTGATGAAAAAAGCATCGAGGACCAACAATTCTGAAAAAATGCGTATGAAAAACACATAGTTTGTTGGAATAAGTAATATGTCTAAATTTAATCTCCAACTATTCAGTAGGGAGAATTTTCAAGTCAGCATAATTTTTATTTCTTGGTGGTATTCAATTTTAGGGTAATTACTGGAAAGCTGTCACGAAAGCTGAGAAAAGGAGAAAACGCTAAGAAGTAATAAAGACTGTAAATAATTATTTTTGCCCAATTTAAAAAGGTTAGTATCATTATTTCCACAATTCCCTTTTTCTCGAACTGTTGTACCTTTTTTAACAATATGCTTCGAAGAGAATTCAGGCTAAAAGAACAACCTTTCGAAGAATCAGTCAAGGATGCAGATGAACATTCTGCTGAACATGCACCAGCAACATCAATCTCTTCAGCCATGGGCATTTCTAATTCGTCTTCAAGAAAACAAAAAAGGCAATGAAAGGTACTGTACTTTGAATCAACAGAAAGTCACTAAAATTCACCTGGCCTCGAATTACGCTCTTGATTTGGTAAGTCGAACGTCTGCACAACATGCTGGCAGGTCTCCCGCACAACCAGTTCCGATCCACATGAACTTTCATGCTTCTCAACATCGACAGCTTTCAACAAAATGGTCTCAGACCGAGTTGAAAATTCTGGAGCCTTGAAAGAGAACCAAGAAGTTCAAGAAATATTCATACTCAGCGGCAAACGGACATTGTGACCCTACGATGGCATTTTCATAAGTGCTCTAACTGACAAACACGACAGCATCAATATCAAAATAGTCGCATCTAGAAATTATTCACGACCCAAAGTCATTCATTGCAACTGAGTATATATCCCAAATTTTCGCAAACATCCGAAGTCTAATGACTCTTGGGTTGAAGATATGAAGTTGTGCAACTCGAAGAGTCAACACAACAAAATTTCATCCATGACAACGATCGTCTGCAAGTCTGAGGACTCTTCACAATACTAAATGTCCCTCCAATGAACCAATGTTCACCAAATACTGTACTGTACAACAAATTTCTGTACTTCACAATCTACTGTACTACCTCGTGCTCATGGGCTTCATATCCTTCCAACTTCACAGCTTTTCGACACACGACACAGAACTTCCATGACTTCGGGCAGGCCAAGATGTGCAGCTCCTTCACATCAAAAGGTACCGACTGGTTACTGCAAAAAAAGAAAGAACCCAGTTACTTCCCAACACAGAAGACAATGCCGAAGTTGGATGAAGCATACAGAAGTGGAAACAAACAAGACTCAGGCATAACTACAGTATCCAACTGCGATTAATGGAAATTTGGCTTTGCTTGCATGTCACAAGCACATCAACCAGAAGGGATGAAAATCAACACTTGTTCAATAGACTTCACTTAGAAAGCCTGGAATCTACCCTACTCGGTACTGCTTTAAATGAACACATGGGTATTAATATTATCGCAAAGAAATTCATCAATCAGGAATCAGACTACAGTACCAGCATACATCAGAAATAAAATACGTCCGATGCAAGCAGAATTTCCAACAATGGATCGGTAGGATGCTGGAAATCTTGTACTTCCTGCAGCCTCTTCAATGTCAGATGAAGAGACACACTTCTCTCAAAATAAAAGACTGCAATTCAACTCGTGAAGTACATTTCACTTTCCCGGGGTAATTCCCTGTGCGAAGTCCAAGAAGCTGAATTTAAAACGGCAACACCTGTCGTCGGGTGAACATTTTGTGCTTATATTTCCTTCATGCTGAGTAGAAACTACCAAAAACGTCAGGGTCTAGTGTACTTTAGCGATGCCAGTGAAACGCACTGTGCGCGTCAAAGCGCGCGGCCATTAATTTTACCGTGCTGCCCTCTATGTACCCTTGCAAAGAGTGGCACATGACGCGGCTCAGTAAAA